TACGTTTATTGATTTGCATATGTTCAACGAGCCTTGCATCCCAGGGATGAAGCCCACTTGATCATGGTGGATAAGCTTTTTGATGTGCTGCTGGCTTCGGTTTGCCAGTGTTTTATTGAGGATTTTTGCATCGATGTTCATCAGGGATATTGGTCTAAAATTCTCTTTTTTTGTTGTGTCTCTGCCAGGCTTTGGTATCAGGATAATGTTGGCCTTGTAAAATGAGTTAGAGAGGATTCTCTCTTTTTCTATTGATTGGAATAGTTTCAGAGGGAATAGTAGCAACTCCTTCTGGTACCTCTGGTAGGATTCGGCTGTGAATCCATCTGGTCCTGGACTTTTTTTGGTTGGTAGGCTATTAATTACTACCTCAATTTCAGAGCCTGCTATTGGTCTATTCAGGGATTCAGCTTCTTCCTGGTTTAGTCTTGGGAGAGTGTAAGTGTCCAGGAAATTATCCATTTCTTCTAGGTTTTCTAGTTTATTTGCGTAGAGGTGTTTATAGTATTCTTTGATGGTAGTTTGTATTTCTGTGGGGTCTGTGGTGATATCCCCTTTATCATTTTTTTATTGCGTCTATTTGATTCTTCTCTCTTTTCTTCTTTATTAGTCTTGCTAGCGGTCTATCAATTTTGTTGATCTTTTCAAAAAACCAGCTCCTGGATTCATTGATTTTTTGGAGGGTTTTTTGTGTCTCTATCTCCTTCAGTTCTGCTCTGATCTTAGTTATTTCTTGCCTTCTGCTAGCTTTTGAATGTGTTTGCTCTTGCTTCTCTAGTTCTTTTAATTGTGATGTTAGGGTGTCAATTTCAGATCTTTCCTGCTTTCTCTTGTGGGCCTTTAGTGCTATAAATTTCCCTCTACACACTGCTTTAAATGTGTCCCAGAGATTCTGGTATGTTGTATCTTTGTTCTCATTGGTTTCAAAGAACATCTTTATTTCTGCCTTCATTTCGTTATGTACCCAGTAGTCATTCAGGAGCAGGTTGTTCAGTTTCCATGTAGTTGAGCGGTTTTGATTGAGTTTCTTAGTCCTGAGTTCTAGTTTGATTGCACTGCAGTCTGAGGGACAGTTTATTATAATTTCTGTTCTTTTTCATTTGCTGAGGAGTGCTTTACTTCCAACTATGTGGTCAATTTTGGAATAAGTGTGATGTGGTGCTGAGAAGAATGTATATTCTGTTGATTTGGGGTGGAGAGTTCTGTAGATGTCTATTAGGTCCACTTGGTGCAGAGATGAGTTCAATTCCTGGATATCCTTGTTAACTTTCTGTCTCGTTGATCTGTCTAATGTTGACAGTGGGGTGTTAAAGTCTCCCATTATTATTGTATGGGAGTCTAAGTCTCTGTCTCTAAGGACTTTCTTTATGAATCTGGGTGCTCCTGTATTGGGTGCATATATATTTAGGATAGTTAGTTCTTCCTGATGAATTGATCCCTTTACTATTATGTAACGGTCTTCTTTGTCTCTTTTGATCTTTGATGGTTTAAAGTCTGTTTTATCAGAGACTAGGATTGCAACCCCTGCTTTTTTTGTTTTCCATTTGCTTGGTAGATCTTCCTCCATCCCTTTACTTTGAGCCTGTGTGTGTCTCTGCATGTGAAATGGGTCTCCTCAATACAGCAAACTGATGGGTCTTGACTGTCCAATTTGCCAGTCTGTGTCTTTTAATTGGAGCATTTAGTCCATTTACATTTAAGGTTAATATTGTTATGTGTGAACTTGATCCTGCCATTATGATATTAACTGGTTATTTTGCTCATTAGTTGATGCAGTTTCTTCCTAGCTTCGATGGTCTTTACATTTTGGCATGTTTTTGCAATGGCTGGTACCGGTAGTTCCTTTCCATGTTTAGTGCTTCCTTCAGGGTCTCTTGTAAGGAGGCCTGGTGGTGACAAAATCTCTCAGCATTTGCTTATCTGTAAAGGATTTTATTTCTCCTTCATTTATGAAACTTACTTTGGCTGGATATGAAATTCTGGGTTTAAAATTCTTTTCTTTAAGAATGTTGAATATTGGCCCCCATTCTCTTCTGGCTTGGAGAGTTTCTGCCGAGAGATCTGCTGTTAGTCTGATGGGCTTCCCTTTGTGTGTAACCCGACCTTTCTCTCTGGCTGCCCTTAACATTTTTTCCTTCGTTTCAACTTTGGTGAATCTGACAATTACATGTCTTGGAGTTGCTCTTCTTGAGGAGTATCTTTGTGACATACTCTTTATTTCCTGAATTTGAATGTTGGCCTGCCTTACTAGATTGGGGAAGTTCTCCTGGATGATATTCTGCAGAGTGTTTTCCAACTTGGTTCCATTCTCCCCATCACTTTCAGGCACTCCAATCAGATGTAGATTTGGTCTTTTCACATAATCCCATACTTCTTGGAGGCTCTGTTCATTCCTTTTTACTCTTTTTTCTTTACACTTCTCTTCTCGCTTCATTTCATTCATTTGATCTTCAATCACTGATACTCTTTCTTCCAGTTGATCAAGTCGGTTACTGAAGCTTTTGCGTTTGTCACGTAGTTCTCATGTTATGGTTTTCATCTGTCAGTTATTTTAAGGTCTTCTCTGCATTGATTATTCTAGTTATCCATTCATCCATTCTTTTTTCAAGGTTTTTAGTTTCTTTGCACTGGTTACGTAGTTCCTCCTTTAGCTCTGAGAAGTTTGATCGACTGAAGCCTTCTTCTCTCAGCTTGTCAAAGTCATTCTCCATCCAGCTTTGTTCCGTTGCTGGCGATGAGCTGCATTCCTTTGGAGTGGGAGATGTACTCTGATTTTTTGAATTTTCAGCTTTTCTGCACTGCTTTTTCCCCATCTTTGTGGTTTTATCTGCCTTTGGTCTTTGATGATGGTGATGTACTGATGGGGTTTTGGTGTAGGTGTCCTTTCTGTTTGTTAGTTTTCCTTCTAACAGTCAGGACCCTCAGCTGTAGGTCTGTTGGAGTTTGCTTCAGGTCCACTCCAGACCCTGTTTGCCTGGGTATCAGCAGCAGAGGCTGCAGAAGATAGAATATTGCTGAACCGCGAGTGTTACTGTCTGATTCTTGCTCTGGAAGCTTTGTCTTAGGGGTGTATCCCGCTGTGTGAGGTGTGAGGTGTTGGTCTGCACCTAGTGGGGGATGTCTCCCAGTTTGGCTACTCAGGGGTCAGGGACCCACTTGAGCAGGCAGTCTGTCCCTTCTCAGATCTCAGCCTCCATGCTGGGAGATCCACTGCTCTCTTCAAAGTTGTCAGACAGGGGCATTTACCTCTGCCGAGGTTTCTGCTGCTTTTTGTTTAGCTATGCCCTGTCCCCAGAGGAGGAGTCTACAGAGACAGGCCGGCCTCCTTGAGCTGTGATGGACTCCACCCAATTCGAGCTTCCCAGCAGCTTTGATTACCTACTTAAACCTCAGCAATGGCGGCGCCCCTCCCCCAGCCTCGCTGCCGCCTTGCAGTTAGATCTCAGACTGCTGTGCTAGCAATGAGGGAGGCTCCATGGGCATGGGACCCTCTGGGCCAGGTGTGGGATATAATCTCCTGGTGTGCCGTTTCCTAAGACCCTTGGTAAATCGCAGTATTAGGGTGGGAGTTACCCGATTTTCCAGGTGTTGTGTGTCTCAATTTCCCTTGGCTAGGAAAAGGAATTCCCTTCCCCCTTGCGCTTCCCAGGTGAGGCAATGCCTCGCCCTGCTTCAGCTCTTGCTGGTCAGGCTGCGCCCGCGGACCAGCGCCAAGTGTCCGACACACCCCAGTGAGATGAATCCGGTACCTCAGTTGAAAATGTAGAAATCACCCATCTTCTGTGTCGCTCACGCTGGGATCTGGAGGCTGGAGCTGTTCCTATTTGGCCATCTTGGGCGCGCCCCCCCTTATTTTGTATTTTTAGTAGAGACAGGGTTTCTACATGTTGGTCAGTCTGGTCTCAAACTCCCAACCTCAAGTGATCCATCTGCTTCGACCTCCCAAAGTGCTGGGATTACAGGTGTGAACCACTGCACCCAGCCTATGTTTTGTATTGTTTTAAATATTGTTCTTGCTAGGATGAGTGATTTTCTGTTAAAACTAGATATTTTCATATTATGTTCCTAGACTCTGGATATTATCTAAACCTTCTGTTTCCACTGGCTTTTATTGACATTGCTTTGGCAAGGTCATAGGGGGTGCCTCATTACTTCCAGGTGGATGTAGAAGTCAGGGGTCCCTACTCAGCCTCTACTGACGCCCCAGGAAGAGGATCCTTCTTGTTTTTGGTGAGTGGGGGGTAGAAGTCTAGCTGACACCACTGGGATAGGTGTTGGGGCATGCCCAGCCATCAGGGTGAAAATTCTGGCTCCCTACTTGGCCGACTTTGACTTTGCCCCAGTAGGGCATTGGAACTCCTCACTATGGTTTATGAGCTGGAAGTCAAGGCTCCTCACTTAGCTTTCGTTGGTGTGGGTGGTGGTGGGGCAAAACTGTTTACTGGGTTTGGCTAGAGTGGAGCAGTTACTGTCAAAAGTTTTCCGTCTTGCCAGGCTGTCCCTTTCTTGTTTCTTTGGCTAGGGAGAGCAAGCTTTTGTTGTGGCTTTGTCTGTGCCAGTTGGCATTTCCAGGTTGCTGCCTTCTTTAGCTCCAAGTCTGGGATATATTAGGCAAAAAGAAAACCCAGAGAATTTACACCACCGTGTCATTCCATGGGTCCTGAGGTCCCTTACTTAGTTTGCCTTCTCTCCACTTTTCACAGTCTTCTCATGTTCTGTATATAATATCCAGGGTCTTTAGTTATCCTTAGCAGAAATGAAAGGGAAAAGTTTTATCTGCTGTATGCTTCTGTAAGTGGAAGTCTTCAAATTTGCCTTTTTGACTCATTTAAACAGTTTTGTAAAATGTATAATCATTATTGGGCAAAATGTCCCATAAAATGTATATACCATGTGATGCTTTGCATAATATTGTGTTCAAGAGGACTGCTGGAAAATAACATCTTTATTTAAACTGAAACGAATTGTTCACATTATTAATGAAAACTTTTCCCCTCTAGGAAATAATGCAAAAGGTGTCCCAAGGCTCCTGACCAGTGAACAAAGATTTGAGAAAGACAGCCAAGCTCATGTTTTCTCCTGATCAAGAAAATCATCCATCTAAAGCACCAGTAAAATATGGTGAACTCATTGTCTTAGGGTAAGGTTTCTCCATTTGATAAGACACACAGTTTAATAATATATGCTAACTTTGGCATCTAGGCTATAAGTACTTTTTTTTGGAATTGGTAATGTTACCAAATCAAGAAACTCTTTTAATTCTCATATTCATGCTATTGTTTAAAAGCACTCAAATATGACATAAACTTTGTCTCACCCTTACGCGCAGAAAGGGCAAAGTTTCTTAAAGATGAAATGGAAGGTTCGGGCGTGGTGGCTCACGCCTGTAATCCCAGCATTTTGGGAGGCCAAGGCAGGCAGATTACCTGAGGCCAGGAATTCAAGACCAGCCTGGCCAACATGGTGAAACCCTGTCTCTACGCAAAACACAAAAATTATCCGGGCGTGGTGGCGCGTGCCTGTAATCCCAGCTACTTGGGAGGCTGAGGCAGGGGAATTGCTTGAACCCTGGAGGCAGAGGTTGCAGTGAGCTGAGATTGCGCCACTGTACTCCAGCCTGGGCAACAGAGTGAGATTCTGTCTCACGAAAAAAAAAAAAGATAAAAATGAAATGAAATGAAAAGTGTATTTGTCCACTGTCACAGTCATGCCATTTGTCTTCCCTATCCCATGTTTTGTCTCAGCTGATTTTACCAAAAATTCCCTTTCCCTTGCCTGCTTTAAGTCATTTCATGTAGGTTAGTCTTCATTTATTCTTTTGCCCATCTAAGGTAGTTATTGCTTTGTGCTGCACATTTTGGTTAAAGGAGTTGTATATGGTGACAGCAGAATGCCTCTGAAGCCCAGGAATCTAGCTATTTCTTAGCTCCTAAAGTAATTTCATCCATGTAACTCACAGAAATAGAACCTGAAGATTGAGGAATAGATGATTCTGTTATTCCAAATTATTTCAATTTGTTCCACTTAAACTTGTCGTAACTATCAAAGTGGAGACACAGTATTAGCCTTTCTTAACTAGAGATCTCAGAAACTAGAAAACTGCTCATTTTAGGCTGCGTGCAGTGGTTCACACCTGTAATCCCAGCACTTTGGGAGGCCAAGGTGGGTGGATCACCTGATGTCAGGAGTTCGAGACCAGCCTGGCCAACATGGTGAAACCCCATCTTTACTTTTTATACAATAATTAACTGGGCGTGGTAGTGCATGTCAGTAATCCCAGCTACTTGGGAGGCTGAGGCAGGAGAATCACTTGGACCCAGGAAGAGGAGGTTGCAGTGAGCCGAGCACTCCAACCTGGGCAACAGAGCGAGACTCTGTCTCGAAAAAAATAAGAAAAAAGAAAATTGCTAATTTTATTTTCCCCCTGCTGTTGCTCTGCTTTTGCCTAAAAAACAACTCAAGATATTGCAGTATGTTTGAGAGTCAGGTTAAAGTGAGAATGTGTTGTTTCAGATGAGAGAGTTAGAGAAACTGGGGAAATCATATGGAGTTACTGAGCTTGACTAGATGTTAGGAATCTTAGAATCCAGTGCTTGTTCCAGCACTGCTAGCTGTGTGACCTTGGGCAAGTCACTGAACCATCCTGGGCTTTAGTTTCCTCCTCTGTAAAAATGACAATTAGACAAGATCTTCTAAGGCCCTTTGAGACTTAAAATTCTTTTCTCAGAAACAAAACTTTAAAAGATGATAAATTTAGCATAGTAACTTCAGTATTAGAACTTCAAATCACATAGATTTTAATGGTATCAGTGACAAACAGCTCTTAACTACCAAAAACTTTTCCAGATTAAATTCTTCTAGCAGGAAATTTGAGAGTCATTTGAAGAATAGTTTAAAATTTAGCTTATGGTTTTAAACTGCCAGTCTTAGCCTATAGGTTCCTCAGTTAATCATTAGCAACAGTAATTGTCTCTGTCTGGTACTTGGTGTCCTAAAATGCAAATACTTTTTCTTCTCAACCCTCTAGAAGTGAAGCTAGACAAGGTTTCATGCTATTGCTACTTAGAAAAGAGCTTTGAACTACAGGAACCCAATATGGGACTAAAGAGTGAGATCCAGAAGTGGGATGAGTCATGCAACTCAGGGGACAGTAGTTAAGGGACAGTGAGGAATTGGCAGTGGGGCTGGTGGCAACACAAAGCCTAGAATAGCTAAAATAATTATTAGCTAAGGGGCTGTACTTTGGACTTACAGCAAGGCTAGCAACATTACGAAGGGCTTTCTCCAATACAAAGTGTTTTATTTTTTTGTAAAGGGTCAGTGTAGTTTCTATATATGGCAGTCATTGAGTAAACTCGCTTCTCAGCTTTAAGACATTCTTCCTTGCCAGCCACATTTACAGGCCATTTTATAATCACTCTTCCTCCAACCTCAAAACTGTCCCTATTCCCTGCTTCATTTCCACCTAGATTGACATATGGTAGATCATCAAACCAAAGATTTATCAGGGGGTGGGGGCAGGGGAGGTGGACAGTGAATGAGGAAAGATTAGTATTAAGCTACTGCTCATGCCTCAAGCAGTAAAGAATGACATAAACACATGACAAACATACTTAAATTCAAATTCTGGCTTTGCCTGTGTCACTTCAGAATATAATTCTTCTGAGTCTGTTTCCTAACGTGTAAAAATGGGGACAGTGATTTCAATCTGGTAGAATTTTTGCAAGGGTAGATTTAGTGAGGTAATGTGCATGGGATAACATTCAGTAGTGCCTGGTATATAGTAAACACCCAAATATTTTTATTTTGTTTTTAACTTTTTTCCATTGGTTTAGTACTTGCTTACCTTTAGGATGTACGTGTGTGTGTGTGTGTGTGTGTGTGTACATGTTATAGAGAAATGTTCATAAGATCTGAAAAACAAAAGTATGTTTACTACTTAGCAAACATATCTGTTGGACAAGTTCTGCTAATATAATGAGAGTGCATTTGTACATTCAGGTAGCTAAGACTTAACAAGTCTAAAAATTCCTTACTTCAAAAGTTCAGCTGTTTAAAGTGTTTGGTTCACAAATAAAGGAGATTGTGTTTTAAACAATACATACTATACTTTTTAAAGGTTGTATTAGCACATGCAAACAATTCACCTTAAAAAAAACAGAATGAGTCATAAGGAGTCAGATATGCCATTAATCAGCTCTTAATTATCTTCCGTAAAAGAGGGAAGGAGAAAAATAGAGATAACTTGAATCTGTGTATAATCCAAAAGGTTCTCTGTGACTTGGAATGAAGCCAGAAAAAGAATCTCATTTTGTTTCACACACTGGCACCTGGTATGGAGATCAACAGTTGCTCAAAGGAATTTTAAATAATTATAATGTGTTAATAGATAATTAATTGGGAATTGATTCTGTAAGGCATAGTCAAACATTTGTTTTATAATTGTGCAGTTCTTGCAAGAGATCACCTATACTTTTTTTCCCCCCATCAGGTATAATGGGTCTCTCCCAAATGGCGATAGAGGAAGGAGGAAAAGTAGATTTGCTTTGTTTAAAAGACCTAAGGCAAATGGGGTGAAGCCCAGCACTGTGCATATTGCTTGTACTCCTCAGGCTGCAAAGGTAAAAAAATAAAAAAAAAAAAAAAAAGCTACATAAATTAACTTGGAGAAATTGAAAGACTTTTATGTGTTGTTTATATTCTCTAGCATTCCCCCTCACATTTCTATTTCAGAAATTTCCTTTTGTTTGGATTGGAGAAGAGACTTTGGAGACATGGTATTTGAAAAGCTGCCATATGGAAGGGGAATTGGACTTAAAAAAAAAAAAAAAGACAAACCAGGATCAGTGGGTGGAAATTAGAAGGAAATATTCTCTTTCTTTATTAAAAGAGGTGGGGTAGGGGACAGGGCTTTATCTAGTACCTAGAATTATGCAGCTGTCTGCCCTGAGAAGTGGAAAGTTCCCACTCTGTTACTAGAGGAGCTTCCCTGGGCTGGATGAAGAATGTGATGTATAATATGTGTATTCAGGTATTAGAAGCATGTTTGGGTGAGGTAATTTTCAAACTAAGAGTCTTTACCTAAGATTCTGTGTATTGGTTGTATTCATTTTTGGTTTATAACTTCATATATTTTAGTACCTTGCACAAAGTAGACCTCAGTAATTATTAAATTGAATCAAAGTTATGAAAGCAATATCCAACTGCATCTACAATATAACTTCTCAACCCCCAGCCTATTTCATGCTTCTAGCCCTGTCGTCGTCTTCTAACAAAATTTCCAGAAGCTGGACCACCATTTCAGGATACTTGGGCTTTTCCTAGAGCGACAGACAAGGAGGGGGAATTTCACATCTTTATATTTTCTGTGAATTTGTCTGCTTCCAATTTTATAACACAGACTTTATGTTATAAAGAATTTGATATTGTAATGAGCAAATAAGAAAAATTACAAAGAGTTCTTTGACTCCTGGAAGTACCTGTATCTTTAGCTAAGTAGCCCTAGAATGTACATTAATATTATACCATCTGAAGCATATCTTTATAAGTTAAATAAACAAGAGACAGAAAAATTGGCATATGATGTGGTTTTAGGTCACAGCTTCAGTGTCTGAAGGTAATTGGCTTCTCAGCTTTGTTTTATATCCAGTTTGATTTGTGAAAGAATCCTTAGGCCTTGACTAGGACTCCTCTGTTACTATTTGGGAACCAGTTAGTGCAGAAAGGGGACAGTTTCTTTTTGCTCCTTTGGAGAGAAGGAATATGCTAAGCAGGTGGTGGAAGTAAACCTCAGATTGATTCAATCTGAGGAGCTTCTTAAGTATCTCCCCCAGGAGTGCTCTTGACATTTTGGGTGTGCCACTTTTTCATTGTTCAGGACTTTCCCACATACTACAGGACATTTAGGGGTCCTTCACCCACAAAATGCCATTTGAGCCTGCAAATCCTCATAACAGCCAAAAAATGCACAAAATATTTTCAGATGCCCCTTAGACAGCTAATACTACCTCTGGTTGAAAACCACTATAAGGGAAAATATTTCTAATCCCTACCTCTATAATACCATATTCTGTACTTTTCTTCCTATTTTACTCTGCCATGCCCTCATGTTTTCATTGTTATCTCCTTTTCATCTTTCATCTTTACTAGGCAATAAGAATCTTAGGGATCAGATTGACCCTTGACTGGATGCGGTAGCTCACACCTGTAATCCCAGCACTTGAGAGACCAAGGTGGGCGGATCACTGGAGCTCAGGAGTTCGAGACCAGCCTGGGCAACATGGTGAAACTCTATCTTCACCAAACACACAAAAAATTAGCCAAGTGTGGTGGCATGCCCCGAAGTCCCAGCTCCTTGGCAGGCTGAAGTGGGACGATCACTTGAGCCGGGGAGGCAGAGGCTGCAGTGAGCTGAGATCATGCCACTGCACTGTAGCCTGAGTGACAGAGTGGGACCCTGTCTCAATTAAAAAAAAGAAAAAAGAAAAAAGATTGACTCTTTCCTCTTTAAATTTTGGAGGAATGTATTTGTGAGGTCATGGCGAAAATTAAGCATTTAGTCTGGCAGTCATCTGGGATGAGTAGGTAAAACCCTGCGTTCTAGACCAGTGAGAACCAAACTTAACTAGACATAGTTTTTATTCTCAGTCTAAGAGTAGGTTTAATAACTAGCAAACAAAGATTACAATCTCAAAGCACAAAAAAACCAATGTTTTAAAATCTCTTTAGCCACTAAGAATTAATTTTAAAATACTGAGTAATTATTTCATTGAAAAGTCAGCTGTTTAACCAGTGGCACATGCCTGTTAGTCCCAGCTCCTTGGGAGGCAGAGGCAGGAAGATCACTTGAGCACAGGGTAAAGCTGTAGTGTGCCGTTTTCCTGCCTATAAATAGCCAGTGCACTTCAGCCTCTGCATCATAGCGAAACCTGGTCTCTTAAAACGTACGTGTGTGTGTGTGTGTGTGTGTGTGTGTGTGTGTGTTTAAAACCTATAAAACAATTATATAGTATTTATGAATACCTAAATGTGTAGAAAGAAATATGTAAAACATGCATGTAAATGATCTACACTGCATTCTTGAGGTTGGATACCTCTGTGGAGAAAAGGGTATTGGGAGGGACATGTAGGCAGCCTCGATCGTATCTGTAGTTTAATTCCTTAAAAAAATCAGAAGCAGGCCAGGCACAGTGGCTCATGCCTGTAGTCCCAGCACTTTGGGAGGCCGAGGCGGGCGGATCATGAGGTCAGGAGTTCGAGACCAGCATGGCCAACATGGCAAAACTCCGTCTCTACTAAAAATACAAAAATTAGCCGGGCATGGTGGCGTGCACCTTTAATCCCAGCTACTCAGGAGGCTGAGGCAGGAGAATCACTTGAACCTGGGAGGCGGAGGTTTCAGTGAGTTAGCGCCACTGCACTCCAGCCTAGGCAACAGAGCGAGACTCTGTCGCAAAAAAAAAAAAATCAGAAGCAAAAGTGGCAGTATTAAGCTTTGATAAAGCTGAGTCGTTAGTGTGGTCTCTGTATATTTGGAAATAGTGTATTTCTGTATTCTGTTTGTAGATATTTGGAAATTTGACAATCTTAAAGCTGTTGTTTTAAGGCTTTATCTATTACAGATTAGCTGCAAATTGAAACCAAGTAAAAGCTTATGATGCCAAACTTCTAATTAAGAAGGATTTTTTCATTCAGCTTCTTTGCTGTATATAATTATTCTCTTCTGTCTTTGTGTCTGTTTTCTTTTTATGCAGCCCATTTCTACTTCCTTTGTGTGATGACTAGATTTTTCCCCTTCTTTGATATTATCTTCAACTCATATACATAGAAAACACTTGAAAACAAAACTGAAAAGTTCTTTTTAGCAATGTTTTTAGTTTGAGATAAGTCAGAAATACAGTCATAAGCATTACATCCCTTTCCTTTGGTAATGTTTAATCATTCTATGTTTCTTTTGTTTTTTAAAGAATTTTTTTCTTTTATCTCCTGGGACCAAATCCCAAATGCATTTTTCTGTATCTCACCCAGCATATGGCAGACATTTGTCATCTGTAGAGTCACAAAATGGTTAGAAAACCAGTTAACTTGGCTTGTGAGTGAACTTTATAGCTCTCTGAATTACTTCAAAAATAAGATTCCTCTTATTTTGCAAGATTTTGCATTTTCTTCTTATCAGAGCAGTACTGTTGTTTTCTGTTTTTATGTGGGATTTGGTTTTGATTATTTTATAATTTAAAATACTTAATAAGGGAGTGTAGTGGTTTGATAAAAGAAAATTATGGGCCAGGCGCAGTGGCTCACGCCTGTAATCCTAGCACTTTGGGAGGCTGAGGCGGGCGGATTGCCTTAGCTCAGGAGTTCAAGACCAGCCTGGGCAACATGGTGAAATGCTGTGTCTACTAAAAATACAAAAATATTAGCCATGCATGGCAGTATGCACCTGTAGTCCCAGCTGCTTGGGAGGCTGAGGCAGGAGAATCGCTTGAACCCGGGAGGCGGAGGTTGCAGTGAACCGAGATCGCACCACTGCACTCCAGCCTAGGCAACAGAACAAGACTCCATCTTTGAAAAAAAAAAAAAAGAAAATTATGTTTTTACTCTGTAACTGCTTCTAAATATTCTTCGATACCCCATTCAACCCAAGAAACTACTGTCACAACTGACAGGAGTTATTAACCTCTCTAGATTTCAGGGGGAAAATATATAAGTATGTCATGTATTTGATAAATAGTTTTCCCTTTTTTTAATGAAAAGATTATCTGATTGGATTGACCTGCCTACTAATTTTTGCTATTAACTTTTTCATTCTTAGGCAATAAGCAACAAGGACCAGCATAGCATATCATATACTTTATCTCGGGCCCAGACTGTGGTGGTTGAATATACTCATGACAGCAACACCGATATGTTTCAGGTATTATAACATCTAAAATTTTTTTTCTTAAAAACAAAAAAGTTAAAAATATATTGGTGAGTTTTGCTGAGATCAGATAAAGGATTATCATATATTTATATTGTATTTTATTAAAATATAGATTGATTGCTAACCTTCATAAATAGAAGTCAGTCTAGCACAGTTGAGATAGGCTCCGGAATAAGAATTACTGGTAAATATTACATAGCCATTATATGCCTCAGTTTCCTTCTCTGTAAAGTGCAGATAATAGACTCTCCCCTATGACTGTTAAGAGGCTTAAATGATCTAGTACACGTAGAGTACTCAGCGCTGTGCCAGGTACTTAGTAAAAACACTTAGTGAATAGTAGCTATTATCCAAAAAAAGAAAACAATAAATACTCTGCACACATGTATGACTTTTTCTACCACTACCTCCCACCTTCCTCTCTAGGCAATAAACAATCCAGGCACTTGCTAACTATTTTATTATCTGTGTGAAATCAAACCTTTTTCTCAGCACATATTTGGTCAGTGCTACTCATGCAATAAAAGTATTTTTCTCCTACTTTTTGTACCGGTCCAGTGCTGATATTTTTGTAAACTGGTAGATTTTAGGACAGTCAATTCCAAAGATGTAAATAGAATCTTTGATCTTCTCCCTTAATATTGAGCTCTCCAAAGCTTAGCCTTTTATAAACAAACTTAAGTAGAACATAAATTATCTGATAATGTTGCTTTTATAATTATTGTCACATGGACTTTTCCATTTTTCTTTATTTTACAAGGCAAATAAAAGTGAAAAGGCCTGGATATATATTTAATTTCAGTCAATAGTGAAATATTTCTTTGAAGTCACTCCCTCTGCTCAACCTTTTTAATGAGATGAGATACTGAATTTCTTTTCTCTAGTTAATATTAGAATGTGGGCATTTGTGTTTTCCTCTCTTTTACCGAAAATAAATTACATCTTTAATGAAGATTAATGTTTAGATCCAAGAAAAACCTAACACAAAGCTTTAGGATGATTTTTCACATTTTGTTTCACTGACAAGCAGTGAAAATGAATGAGCTTAGCTTTTTTTAAAATCAAGGTGCTACTAGGCCTGTAGTCTCAGTTACTCAGGAGGCTGAGGTGGGAGAATAGCTTGAGGCCAGCCTGGGCAACATAGTGAGACTTCGTCTCTGTAATAAAATGTAGATAAATGTGTGTGTGTGTGTGTGTGTGTGTGTGTATCTCCAAGATATTTGGTCACAGGCTAGAATTTTAGCTTCAGAAAGTACCTTATATTTATTTGTTTACCCCTTATCTTTTGTAGATTAAGTTAACTGAAATCTTGTGAGTTAACGATGATAGAGTTACTTGGGGGCAAAACTGAAATTAAACCAGGCATCCTGAATTCTGAAACAGTGTCTTCACCATCTAATGAAGGCCCTTAAATAAATTTTAACATTTTGAGTTTTGTCTTTTTCATAAAGTAGAGAATTTTTCCCAGTATCATAAACTGATTATGTCCTTTCTACAGGTATTATACCTTTGGAAAATCCAAACATTTCAGCATCAAAAAGACTGTGATGTATCAGAAACTACCTTGATAAACTAGGCAGTCTTTGAGGAATTGTATTAGAAACATTCTAGGATTGTCTACCCTGTAAACTGAACAAGAACATTTGTTGTTCAAGTCATCAGATGTTCCAACTCCAACTCTATGCATTGTTTGGCACTACGAAGTAAGGGAGACATTACAAGCAGATTACATGCCTAGGCGCTGTACTGACCCTCTAAATTTTAAGCACATTGATTGTGTTGAGGAAAGAGGGAGAAGAGACTTTATACTGGTGTCTTTTCATGTAGATCCTTTTATCAGGTTAAGTAGGATTTTTGCCAGCAACCAGTAGAAAAACATTCTAGCAAAAGAGATGGCAAAGAAGTAGTACACAGTGTGGTAAAAGATTGATGAATAAGCTACTTGTAGCTAATATACATAAATAGCAGGAAATTTGGCTGGATTGGTAGATGGGAGGCAAATCTTGAGTCAGTTTCTAACTATTATTAGAAATAATAAATACAAATTTTGGATAAGCTATAAGGAACCATTGAGTTTTCTCGTGAGGGTGAGGGAGAGTAACAAAAGAGCTGTATTTTTAATGCTAATAATAGCAGTTAGAAAGGGGTAGAATTAGTAACAATCAGATTTTGGCATATGATCACATTCATGGTGGGTTTTTTTTCCCTTTATAGATACTTAAGTTTCTTCCTTCTCATTGTCATTACAAATATTGCTTCAGTGTCTTAAATAGTCTCTTCCAAGACCAAGTTGAAATGTTAGCTCTCTGGAACAGTCTCTTTCCAAATAAGTGCTACTTCTGTTGATTCTGAATATTAGTTCAATCCTTGGCCTGTATCTTTTAGCCTTTAAAGAGCCTTTGTGTTTGGGGAAATATTTTTAGTTTCAAAGATCTGAGGCCATTTAAGATATGTTTATTTTTAAGAATAAAGAAAAGGAATATCCAACCTTGTATTTGTTAACTAGTTTCCCTCCAAAACTATCCAATCTAAATATAAAGACTTTATACTTGACAGTTGGACAAAAACACTAAAGAAGTTTATCTGAAAGTGTGCTGATACAAGGAACTTGAGGCTAAAATATGTAAAGAGTAAGAGTCTTTATCTTTGTAGAGGGTCAGTATTTTTTCTCAGTACCCACATTCTTCAATTTTATGATACTACTTTATAACAAATACATTCATGAACTGATAATTTCCAAATGTTTGCTTTAAAGCCCTGTGACACTTGTGACTATTGTCATCTACCCATTGATTTCCTTTTTTCTTTTCAACTTTCAAAATGCAATTAACTTATTTACTAGCTAGTACCTCTGAAGATGTTTTGAAATCTCTGACACCTCACCCATCCAGAACTCTTATCTGGGAGCCTTGTCTCTCTGAAATATCCCCAAGAACCAGGAAGAGTATATATATAAAATAAATGCCACAAAGTTGATGCAGTGAAATTCCTTTTCTGTGCTCCCTAGAGAATCCCTTAGGCTCTCACCAGAACCTTTTGAAATACTTTTCTCTGAAGTAGGTTATTTGATTTCTCAAACCATAACAGAGTAAGAGTAGCCAGTTGAAAGAGGGGCTTGTTTCTGGATACAGGCTTGACCAAAAACAAGGAGTGATAGCTGACAACCTGGCAGAAAAGAAACAGGAAAATATATGAAGTATATATAAGACCTCAAAGCAAGGCTGTGTAAACCCTTGACATAAGGAGCAGCAGTCTTGTATACCTCTTATAGCACCTGAAGACATCACTGCATTTCAGCTTAATGTAAATGGTATTTATAGTGTAATGTTCTGCAGTCATCCTAAAATATTTACTTATATATGTTCACTATATTCTGTTAAATAAGGTAGAATATCTCTTTAAATATCTCTAAAGAGAAGAAATCTACATGATACACATATTTCCATCCAAAAGGGTTAAAATTAAAATCTGCAGCCATCTAGAAATTTCAGCCGTTCCTGAACTCTTCATTTCCTGAGGGTTTCGTATATTATTGTAAGTTCTCATTTAATTCCATGCTCTGAGTGATTACTTCATCAGAGACAGTCTGATTAGTTTTCAAGAGTATAGATGCCCCCAACGTTAAGTATGGTGAGCTTCAACTTTAGAAATTTCAAAGGCCTAATGTTTTCTCCTTATTGTGCTTTTCTTGAATGGATTTTCCACTGTGTTCTTTGAATGGGTTTATAGATACTTTTTTTCCCTCAGATTGGCCGGTCGACTGAAAGCCCCATTGATTTTGTAGTAACTGACACAGTTCCTGGAAGTCAAAGTAATTCTGATACGCAGTCAGTACAAAGTACTATATCAAGATTTGCCTGTAGAATCATATGTGAACGGAATCCTCCCTTTACAGCACGGATTTATGCCGCAGGATTTGACTCATCAAAAAACATCTTTCTTGGGGTAAAAAGCTTTTTTTCTAAATGATGCTTTCTTTTATACTAGCTTTCATTCCAAATTACAAGTAATTGGAAGCTCACTTCTATTATTTCTACTAGGAGAAGGCTGCCAAATGGAAGACATCAGATGGGCAGATGGATGGTTTGACCACTAATGGTGTTCTTGTGATGCATCCACGCAATGGATTCACAGAAGACTCCAAGCCTGGAATATGGAGAGAAATATCGGTGTGTGGAAACGTATTTAGCCTGCGTGAAACCAGATCAGCGCAGCAGAGAGGAAAAATGGTAAATACTGAATGGTATTTTCTTAATTAGCTACAATAAACACATAGGATGAGTTGAACTGAATGCATTACCTACATTCCAGAAAACTCTTAAATCTATTGCCAACACAGAATACTAAAGCTATCAAACACTGACTACCAGATTCTATACTAGAGGTCAGTATGTTAATATTTCATTTAGTAGCCGGGCACGGTGGCTCACACCTGTAATCCCAGCACTTTGGGAGGCCGAGGCGGACAGATCACCTGAGGTCAGGAGTTTGAGACCAGCGTGACCCACATGGAGAAACCCTGTCTCTACTGAAAATGCAAAATAAGCTGGGCATGGTGGCGCATGCCTGTAATCCCAGCTACTCGGGAGGCTGAGGCAGGAGAATCACTTGAACGTGGGAGGTGGAGGTTGTGGTGAGCTGAGATCGCGCCATTGCACTCCAGCCTGGCAATAAGAGCAAAACTCTGTCTCCAAAAAAAAAAAAAAAATTGGTAAACTCTGAAAGTTTATTCTTCTGTCATATCATGTTAATATATTTTAAAACCTAAGCTTTCTTAAACTAAACAGCGCTCTGATCTTTTCAGCCATCTGTATATCTTTGACCATATTTACCTCATTAAAAATATTAGACTTATTGATTAGCCAGGTGTTTTAATCATAAGTTGTCATTACCATAAGGCTAAAAAGAAATATGGTAATGTTTGATATTTTATCCTTGATTTTCAAACTTACCTTTTTGGTAACTACTGTCCGTTTCTTGAATATTTAGTGAAAATCCTAGAAAATCTCGTTTCTTGAGTAAGGAGTACTTAAAACCAAAAGGCTTATGTAAAAATCCAAAACAGAGTGGTGAATATGTTTTTCAACTCTTGTCTTCTCTAGGTGGAAATTGAAACCAATCAGTTACAAGATGGCTCGTTAATTGACCTCTGTGGTGCAACATTGCTATGGCGTACTGCAGAAGGCCTTTCCCACACTCCTACCGTGAAGCATTTGGAGGCTTTAAGACAGGAAATCAATGCAGCACGACCTCAGTGCCCTGTAGGGTTCAACACACTAGCATTTCCTAGTATGAAGAGGAAAGATGTTGTAGATGAAAAACAACCATGGGTATATCTAAACTGCGGCCATGTACATGGCTATCATAACTGGGGAAACAAAGAAGAACGTGATGGAAAAGATCGTGAATGTCCTATGTGTAGGTCTGTCGGTCCCTATGTTCCTCTGTGGCTTGGATGTGAAGCTGGATTTTATGTGGACGCCGGCCCTCCAACCCATGCGTTTAGCCCTTGTGGGCATGTGTGTTCAGAAAAGACAACTGCCTATTGGTCCCAGATCCCGCTTCCTCATGGTACTCATACTTTTCATGCAGCCTGTCCCTTTTGTGCACATCAGTTGGCTGGTGAACAAGGCTACATCAGACTTATTTTTCAAGGACCTCTAGACTAACAGACCATTGTCCTCCAGGACTACATTATAAATTTATAAGCTAAGTGAGTTGGGTTTTCGAACCTGTTGTCCACGTCACAGTTTTTCTGCTCTGGTCATTTGCATTAAGATGAAGAATTTTTTAAAACATTTATAATAAATAGCAATTTCTGAGCAAAAATCTGGGAAACTCAAGCAAAGGAATTACTGAAAGTATCAGTATTCTGAATTCTGAGTTTTGAAAATATATTTTGAGGAGAAAAAGACATAGTCTAATTTGATGCCTTCCTTTTAGTGTTTTTGAATCACCCATCCTCAGTGCTGAAATTGTTTTGTATAACTGAGGGTACTGTTGGTTCAAACTATGTTAGTTTACAGTTTGTTGCAAACATTGTAAAATATAGCAACATGTATATTAACTTTTTTCTATTTTACGTTAGAATGTTCTTGATAGAGTAGCATGGTAACGATGGTGTCACACCCTTGGTGTGAATGGTAGCTTAGTGAGCACACCTAGCTCAAGGATTTGCAAAGTTAGGAAGAAGGACAAGAGAACCTCTCTCCCCACCCCAGTCTAAATATGGAATTTGGTAAATTAGAATACTTTGTAATTTGTAAGACCAATTTCATATTAATTACCATTGTGTGAAAGGTGTTCGTTTTTAACCACATTAAAGATAATCAGGAAAGATTTTTTCTTAATGTTTCTCTCGAGCGTAGTACTATAACAAAAACTTAATGCTAAGAAACATTTTATATGCTCCTTTGAATATGCAATTTAATCTAGATTATCTATTTTTCTCCCATGATAACTAATCTGTTTTTAGTATCAGCAGCATTTGGCAAGTTTATTTTTTTGGATATAAACTGTGGTTCATCTGTTCACTGTTCCTAGAAAAAAATCATTCCCATAAGAAAAAGTATAAATTAGCAAGAAAGGAGAGTGACTTGATTTGCTTTTGGAAAAAGAAATGCTTAATTAATTATTCTGTATTTGGCCTTATTCAGGCATAAGGAAATCTAGAGATCTAAAGGGTTGAATGACAATAGTGCTCCCCTTTCTAGCAGACCAGCCTTAACTCTGGGTTTGAATCCTAAGGAGATTGCCACAGTGAGACTTAAGTAAATGTTTGCTTGGCAGATGAGCACCAATGACTGCAGCGTGGAGTGACGCACTGCATGGTCTGTTTATTCTCTAATTCCAATATGTCTTTTGCTTCCAAAAGCAAGAACAAGTTTCTTCTCTCTCCTCCTTCCCACCCTTTTTTCAAAGGCACCACAAGTATAGACAGTTGCACTACATCAAATCTGTTTTTGACACTTGTAGAAACCAGTACACTTTTAGACAGTATCTTTTTTTAATATTTTGATTTGTTTTCCTTTAGTTTGAGAAGTTGTATAATACTTAATTGACTGTAGCAAAGTTTTATGTATGTTAGCATAGCTTTAATTTATCCTCTTACAAAACTGTTCTGAATTTTCTTTTGGTTTTTAAAAAACAAAACTTGTTGCTTAGAAGCCGTGAACTATTTTATTTTACTTCAACTGTCAAAACTTCCTTGTTTTTAAAAATGATCATTTGGGTTCACTCAGGAAATGCATGTCAGGAACTTGTATTATAAGTTTATTAGTTGTGATGTATCAGTAACTGCTGTTACCCCTTTTTCAAAGAAATATAATTGATTTTGAAGTTTTCTAGATTGTCACATGCTTTGTGACTAATGCAAGAAAGCAAGTCTTGTGTTGTATTTGTTCTAGTCATTTCTATTCAGACTATATATTGTAGCTTAATTTTTATTTGCCATTAATTTATTTAAACTAAGTAAATACTTTTCAAAATAGGTATTTGAATTTGTCTCTGTGAGTTCATTTTGCATAATCGAGAATGATTAACGAGAAGTGAAAAATGTGGACAACTCTATTCCACACTCCAAAAATACTCAGTTGAAACAGATGAAGAGTTTGCATTTAATGTAACACTTTAAAGTCTCTGGTTCTTTTTGAAAAGCATCTCTTATTAATAAAGAAACTTTGTTAGTGGTTGAATAATTGAGGACTTGTCTAAGTTAAGCCTTGCTAGGGAGTTGGCACCTGTAAGTTGTATGTTAGACTATTTAAATAGTGCCTTCATAACCGTAAAAGTTTCACGCCCTTCCTAAAGTTGCCTGCATTTTCTTCTAACAGGTAAAGACAATTTCTTCTAACAGGAAAAAACCTGGCTTATTTTCTGTCACATTCAAGTTTTGAAAACTCAGGCAATTTAAATGATCAGTTGGGTGTTTGCTGTTCAAGCATTTTGAATACTGGATCTGTTATTTTGCCATGGCCTAATAGCACACTTTTACTTGTAAGTACTCAGTTGTATTAAGGGAATGTCAGTATTCTGGCCAAGGAGGAGAAAAAGTTGTATTTAGGTCTCCCCAAGAAATCACTCTCAAGAAAGATAATCTTTATGGCTTAACTCTTTTATCAAAGTAATCTTCATATTTAAATGCTACTTAATTTGTTCAAGCAATTAAATTTCCCTTTATCTAACATGGTAGGGTAATGAAGCAAGACATGAAGGGCAGCCATTTGGACATCGGAGTTCTTTTGCTAGGTTATCCTCTTGCAGCCTTCTTTGCTCACTTCCCTCATGTAAAAGTCTTCCAGGACACGTAAAGCAGGGTAGGAATAAATAAAGTATGTAATTACTTCTTTTTTTTTTTTTTTTTTGAGTCGGAGTCTCGCTATGTTGCCAGGCTGGAGTGTAGTGGCGCCATCTCGGCTCACTGCAACCTCTGCCTCCCAGGTTCAAGCCATTCTCCTGCCTGAGCCTCCCAAGTAGCTGGGACTACAGGCGCCACCATGCTCAGCTAATTTTTGTATTTTTAGTACAGACGAGGATTCACCATGTTGTCCAGGATGCTCTCAATTTCCTGACCTTGTGATCCGCCCACCTTGGTCTCCCAAAGTGCTGGGATTACTTCTAACATTTGAGTGTCCCACTTCACTCTTCCCTTCTGACCCAGACTGAGGGCACCGGTGAAATCCACTTGTTATGTCTCTAAGGTTATAAGATCAACATAATTCTAATACTTTGGCCCTTCATTGCAGTGGATCGTCTTGTGCTACCACTTTTTGTTTGTTTGTTTAAGACAGGGTCTTGCTCTGTTGCCCAGGCTGGACTGCAGTGGTGCGATCACAGCTCACCCCAGGCTCAAGCAATTCTTCCACCTCTACCTCCTGAGTAGCTGGGACTACAGATACACACCACCATTCCTGGCTAATTTTTTTCATCTTCAGTAGAGACGCGGTCTCACTAGATTTCCCAGGCTGGTCTCAAACTCCTGCTCTTAAGCAATCCTCCCGCCTCAGCCTCCCAAAGTGCTGGGATTACAGGTGTGAGCCACCACACCCTGCTGTGCTACTGCACTTTAGAGACCACTGGTTAATAAACCTATGTTCCATTCCATTCTCTTTTTCTCTAAGCACCTATAGCAAATCAGAACAGCAAAACTCTACATCACTGAACTCCGTTACTCTATGTCACCCCCACTTTCAGAATTACTCTTGTATAAGTATTCTTTAATGTTTTGTCCTCAAATTTTTTCTACTCTTTTTTATTTTTTTTTATTTTTTTTGAGACGGAATTTCATTCTGTCGCCCAGGCTGGGGTGCAGTGGTGTCATCTCGGCTCACTGCAACCTCCACCTCCTGGGTTCAAGCAGTTCTTCCTGCCTCAGCCTCCCCAAGCAGCTAGGATTACAGGTGACCACCACCACACCTGGCTAATTTTTGTATTTTTAGTAGAGACGGGGTTTTGCCATGTTGGTCAGGCTGGTCTCGAACTCCTGGACTCAAGTGATCCACCCACCTCAGCCTCCTAAAGTGCTGGAATTACAAGCGTGAGCCACTGCGCCTTACCTCTCCTTTCTTAAAACAGATTTTTGTATACCCACTGTGCACGAAGCCCTGTCCTAAACTAGGTGATACAGCAGGAAAAAAAAAAGATCCCTGCCTTCATCGTGTTTGTATTTTAGTGGACAAGATAGAAATGAGCAAGAAAAAGTAAATATGTATATATGTAAAAGTAAATATGTATATATGTACAATATGATAGTGAACTGTGCTGAGGGGGCAAATAAAGCAGAAAGAGGAGATGCAGATGCAAAATGTCATATGCTGGGGCAGGAGGAGTAGTGTTTGTAATATCAAACAGGAAGGCCAGGGAAAGCCCCACTGGGATGGTGGTATTTGAATAAAGCTCTAAAAGAGCTGAAGAGAGAAGGGAGTAGCCACTTAGAGGGGCATTTAGGCAGAGAGCTCTACAAGGCCCTTAAAAGGGCCCTGAAATAGCATGTCTGGGATATTTCTACAATAGCAAAGAAGCATGTGATGCCAAGTGGTATGAATCAAGGAAGAATAGCAGGTAAGGTTGAAGTAAAATGACAGAATTTAAGTGAGAGATAGGGATGACAATAGATTTTGGAGAGCCCCCTGGGATTTATGGCTTTAATTCTGAATGAGATTGGGACACGAGGGTTTTGAGCAGGTGAGTGACTTGATGTGACATATTTTAATAGGATCTAAGTACACTGAAGGTGGGATCAGGGAAAGCATTGCAGTAATCCTGGAGATAAACCATGGTTTGGATAAGGTGGTGGCAGTGGTGGTGGTTTGAAAAGTGATCAGATTCTGAATGTGTTTTAAAGGCAGACCTGACAGCCTTTGCTAGCAGATCAGCTACAGGGTTTGAAAGACAAAAGAGGGATCAAGGATGACTCCACTCAATCAGCCTCAGCAACTAGAGGGATGGAACTGCCATTTGTTGAAGTAGAGATTATAGGAAGAACTGTTTAGGGGATGAGGCGCACTGGTGGAGGAATCAGGAACTCAGTCCTGAGTATTAGACTGAGTCAGCTGTTAGACAAGACATTTGCAAAGGAAGGACATCTCCACTTTTAACTACTATCAAAGTTCTCAACCATTATGATCAGTGTTCTCTATATAGCCCACGCTAGCTTAGAAACTGATTAATGCTGAATTTCCTTTCATTGAAGAGAGTTGGGACACCTCTCATGTTTCTCTCTTTGCTTTGGCTTCCTTCTAAGGAAATGAAGTTTTGTTTTCAACTATAATCCTTTCATTTAGCCAAAGTATTCTGATAAAGTTTTTCTTCCTCCTCACCATATATACCTTTTTCCTTGGTTCTTGCCTTTAAAAAAAAAAAAAAAGTCTTCAGTTTTCTTGAATCTTAATATTTTGCTGCTTCAAATCCTTTTTGGCAGTGGCAGAGCACAGGTTGTGCTTTGATTTTAAAATTTTTGAAAAAAGGGCCGGGCGCGGTGGCTCAAGCCTGTAATCCCAGCACTTTGGGAGGTCGAGACGGGCGGATCACAAGGTCAGGAGATCGAGACCATCCTGGCTAACACAGTGAAATCCCGTGTCTACTAAAAAATACAAAAAACTAGCCGGGCGAGGTGGCGGGCACCTGTAGTCCCAGCTACTCAAGAGGCTGAGGCAGGAGAATGGCATAAACCCGGGAGGCGGAGCTTGCAGTGAGCCGAGATCCGGCCACTGCACTCCAGCCTGGGCGACAGAGCAAGACTCCGTCTCAAAAATAAATAAATAAATAAATAAATTTTTGAAAAAATATTTGAGTGCTTATGGAAAACAGAATTCTTAAACCTGTAAGTCCAGATTTTAGTGTCCAGTTTCCCTGAAGGAAATAGGCCTGTATTTGATAATTATCAACAAAAAACAGTAATAAGATCCAAAGTTTTCCTAATAATCACCGTAAAATACCATGTCCATACATTGTGTTAGATGATGCAATAGGAATGCTGAGTTTTTAGGTTGACATTAAATTGTCAACTCAGCTATGTGTGTGAATATTAAGCCACAGCATACAAGCATTCCTTACAGCTAACATGTGCGTGTTTGCTGTGTGTCAAGCACTATTCTAAATGTGCCCTCCTAGGAATATTACTGATATTTTAAAAATCAAAACATCCCTGTGAGGAAGGAACTGTTACATCCATTTTACAATGGAAACCAGCCATAGCAAAGTAACTTGCCCAAGATTCACCTGCCTTTTAAATGGGGAACTTGGAATTTGAACTTTGGAAGTCTCACGCAATTTGTGTGTACATAACCGCCACATTTTGCTGCTTCCGCATTTCAATGATGGAACACATTGAAGGAATTCTTTTGCGAGTTGGTAAATAAGTATGATTTCTGGCACATGATACATGTTCAAAAACCATTTATTGGATGATTGGAGAAAACTGAGAACTCTGGTCCTTTAAGCTACTTAATACTGAGTAGAAGCATTAACAAAAATAGAAGAATAAAGGTTATGTATAAGCTCTTTATTTGATCAGAAAATATGCTTTCATCGGCTGAAAAACAGGAAGGAAAAAGGCGAAGATACTAGAAAAAGTGGCACTAACTGGAAAGTTGACAAGGCAACAAGAAGAAAATCGATGGTGCCAGGATAGAACAAAAGGATTACCCTGGAAAAAAAAGAAATATCAATGATAGCCAAAAAGGATGTCGTCCAGACATTCAAATTTTTAAGAACCTATTTTGATGAGGAAAGGCACAACAAGCAGCCAATATTTAAAGGGAAAATTAAGATTTCCTGGAGTTGTATTATGTCGTATTACTGCATAACTATTAATAAAAATTATAAAATATAAACTAGAGAGGATATTGGATATCAAGTTACAGATGAGGAAATGAAGGCCAAGATGAACTGATTACTGACTGACAGATCTGGTATTAGAACTTCCATGCCTATGTCTATCCTCATACTTTGATTAGCATAAACTTGAGTCACCAAGACTCAGTTATATTTCCATGTTTTGTTTGTTGAAGCAGAGGTAAGAACATTGCATTTTAAGTTTTTGTTTTTAAATTATAAGTGTCTGCAGAGTAAAACTATCAACTCTTGTTGTCATGTAAACAATGATTCCCCCAAAGGTAAGGAATGATCTGCTTCAGATTTCATTTAACTAAAGACTGCCTAGTTTGGAAATGAAAGACAAAAGCAGGGAAAGAGAATC